AAAGGGAATCTCCCCCTGACGGCAAACTCTACCGGGGCGCCGGCGGCCGACTGTCCACCGATCATGGATCATGGATGGATCATGGATGGATCGTGGATCACTTTATTCACTGGGCTTTGCCGTATCGACTCACCCGCTATTCCGATCCCCCTCTTGGTTCGGCCAGTGAACTGCCAGTCTGCCATACAGAGGCACGAATCGCAATCTGTTTTCCGAAGACAGTACTCCGTACACAGGGCAATCTACATAGTATGAAATGAGGATGATTGAGTATTGCCTGTTGAGTAGCAATCTTGTCATTACGCAGTTGGTCGCTCCCTGCTCACTGTTCCTGCTCCTCCGTCACAGATCGATAAACCGTGACGTATACGTACCAAGCATTTCTCATCTTCGTTTCTTCCTCTTCCACGTGGAAAACTCACAACCACGTTTCAAAAAAACACGGTGCTTCCTTGTCCTCGGTCGTTTCACCATCTCACCCCCCCCCCCAAAACCCCAAGAACGAGAATCAGAAACACTGGTCTATACCAGGGGTCAGCTTCTAGAATCAACCAAAACGGTCATCTGCCTACTGAGTACTAAGTACTGTGTGACTGTGTAGAGTACCCTCCGGTAGATTCCGGCGGCAAATCCCGGGTGATCGATGTGGTTTACCATTGGATTACCATTGGACCTGCACTTTTCGATCGACGGCGGAGTCGACCCAAGTTAAAGTACATTCCAGCCAGTCCGCCTAAGCTTGTCGTCCCAAAAGGCCCCAAAATTCTACCTCCACCTGGGCGGGGAATTTTTAGGTCCGTGATGAATCCTCTTCCCATGCGTCCGCGTCCTATCAATTTCATTCATTTAATGAGGTCACTCCGGGGTCACTTTCCGCACTTTCCCCCCCTCCCGTGGCTCACTGGCTTTCCCTTCAACTTCCAGGGAACCTTCACTCAACGGCTTTGTGATCCTTCTAGACGTGTTGTCAGCCTCGACTATTTTCTAATTTTCGATGGAGACTATACCCATTTCTTTTCATGATCTAACCTCTAT